CTCTGCGGCCCCGGGTGGGCACGGCCTCCGCTAGCCGTCCGTGCAGCACCTGGCACAGCGGCGCTGCGGTTCTGCGCCCACAGGCTGCAGGGACCAGCTCTTTCGGCAGAGCAAGTACGCGTGTGGCACGGTGCAAGCTGGTACCCCAGGCACCCCTCCCAAGGCAGCCCAGAGATGAGATAGATACTGCCCACAAAGAAAAGCAGTAATTACTGGTTGGGCTGGGACACCTTCGGGGCTGCAGGAAGAGGTGCAGGCAACGGCCTTGTCAGCGCACGTCCCACTTCACTGCTAGGGAATTACACACAGCTGAGGTTGCCAAGTGCTGGCCCAGGTGTACACGTGAAGCCCTCGCTGCCTCTGGTGGTCACAGCAAATTCCTCGGCCTCTCCCAAGTGCTGCAGCGCGGAGGCTGGGGGTGAGCCAGCAGCCCTGCTCCGCTCTGCTCTTTGCTGGCTGGTATAATTTCTCAGAGGTACTGAACCCCCACTGCTGCGGGGCAGCTGGTGATGTGGTCTCTTTGAACTCTTTTGCAACTCTATTTTTTGAGACTGTAAAACACCGTGGGCTGCCCCAGGGCTGCAGGAGGCCTGGGCGGTTGCACTGCGCGCCGAGGTCCCTGCAAAGCGGCCGGGCAGCAGGTGGACGGGGCTGCTCTGCAGAGTCTGCGGAGGAGGCGGCGGTGAGAGCTGCGTTTGGGCCTGTGGTCTCAGTCTGCTTGGTCTTGTCTTTACGTGAACAGTTATGGCATCCTTGCTCCAGGCATACAGTTCCCTCAGGCATGAGTTGGGAGTCGCTGAGATGGATCCAACAGCCGTGATGTGGATGAGGGGGGGACACAACAGTGCAGCCATGGCCACCGCTCAGCCCAGCGCCCTGGTAAATCCATCGCTGGAGTCTGGTGGCCACAAATTGCAGCATCTGACAGAGACATCTCAGTTTCAAAACGGTGCTACTGGTTCTCACCATCTGGCTGCGGCAGGGCGTGCGAGCGGGCCCAGCCGCGTGCCCCGCGCTGCGAGCCCGGGGACTCTCGCATGCATGCATGCGGCTGCTCTTTGCAGACAGAGGGAGGAAGCGAGCACGCAGCTTTGTGGTCAGGCAGTTTCTATCCTCCTTGCACCTGATTCAAGCCAGCAGCTCAGCTCCCCAGCAGCCTTTCCCTTCAGCATCCTGCCCAGGGGCAGCCTGGCTGGCTTCCTTCCGCCAGCGCCGCTTCGCGAAGCATCGTGTTTGCAGGTTTAGTCGGAGCCTGCTCATGGCTGATTGCAACACGATTTCACCAGCCCAGCAACTGCCCTGACACTTTATCCTCTCAGCGGATTACACCAAGTATTTATGTTTTCAAAGGTTTCGGAAAGATTTACTGGGCATGCTGTCCGCCCTCCATGCATTACGCTGTCACTAGAGAGCTCTCCTCTATAAAGCTGCTTAGTCCAACCCAAGTCGAACTACATTAAACCCATTTGAAAGCACACGTTTGAGAGGGGGGTGGGAGACCATTTGTGTTTTTGCAGTAGAAACTA